TTAACAATTACAGGAAATTCAAAATATTTTAGATGATCCAACTTTAAAAATAAAAAAATTATATGAGATATATTGGCTTGCATGGTATGAGGCTATTAAAAATATTTGCAATTCAATTCTGGCATTATTTAAACTTTTCAAAGAATCAAAAGATAATGATGAACAAGAATTATACAAGCAACTAATATCTTAGAAAATACTAGCATTTTTATTTTACTTTTATAATATCTTGGAACATGTTACATGGTTAAGTAAATTTTTACAAAAAAGAAATTTAAAATTTTCTGATATAGATTCTATGATACAAGCTACAATTCATTCTATTCAAAAGGAGTATATTCTAGTCAATCAAAATCATAGATTTGGGCAAAATGTTCAAATATTTATAGATAAAACCAATCTATTTAAAAATTCTTTAATAATATATTTGAACATTGATCTTTCTTTTATTAAACAAGATTATGATGAATTTATAATAGATATATATGATTATTCAACAAATGTTATTACTGAACTTCAACATAGATTTCCTGATCGGCAATTATTTACTTCTATGAAAATATTAAATTCACATGAATAGCCAAAAGATTCTCAAGAATTAATATTTTTTGGGGACAATGATCTAGAAATTTTATTAAAATATTTTAAGCAGCCAAATTTTCATAATACTGTAATATTCAATTTCCCACACTTTTTGATATTAAAAAATGTAGGGAAGAATAAGCAGAATTCAAAATGATAACTACTAATAATTTTTCTTCTAATAATATTGAGATATTACTTCCTTTATTGATTCAAGATTATAATGATGTATTTCCCAATATTATTAAATTAATTCAGATAGCCTATTGTATTCCCTTTTCAAGTGTAGAATGTGAGCGTGGTTTTAGCAAACAAAATAAAATTAAAACAAAGGATAGAAACTTATTAACTACAGATATACTAGATATGCTAATGCTTATTTCTTTGGAAGGGTTGAAAAGCAAGAATTTTAACTATACACGTGCATATACAATTTGGAGTAATCAAAAAAGGCGTACAGGGATTAAGTAATCAAATTATTGAAATTATTAATAATAATTAGATATGGTGCACCAAGTCACTTCTCATCAAAAATCATGCTTATTTTAAAAAATCTATAAAATCTTAAGTTTTAAATATT